GCTGTGTCCAGGGCCCGGAGTGTGGTGTGCATCCGACGGGCACTTCTCTGCAAACACCTCTTTCAGGGCTCCTGGGAATGAATCTTGCTAAAGACAGGAGAAGAGCAGGGAGGCCGCAGGAAGCAAAGGCCTGGGGGGCCCCAGAGGTACTCACTTGGCTCGAAGGGCAAGCTGCCGGTCATTGGGGCAAACCCACTGGTCATTCCCGCTGCCGAAGATGGTGTCGGCCATGGCTCGGGGCACCCGGCTGGGGGAGGGGAGTCACATCTGAGATGAAGGAGGGAAGAAGAAAGAGTGCATCACTGGCTGGGGTACAGATGGCAGACGGGGTCTCTATGCAGTCAGCCCCTCCACCCCATCTCCATGCGTTGTCCCCATGGATGCCTGGAATCTCACTGTGGGAACCGTCTCTCCAGCAAAACACTGTTCCTCAAGACTCCTCTTCAGAAGGCTCATGATTCTGGGAGGGTGACCAGGTGGATCATGTGGCCGAGTGCCAAGAGTGAACGTGACTGGCATCAAAGGGTTAGACTCAGACAGGAGAAGGCAGGCACACCCTTAGCAGTTTTCAACTCAGCCCAGGAGGCCATCTGTTCCCTGCTCCCTCCCAGTACAGCAGGGGCCAAACTGAGCACGTCACCCAGCAGGAGGTACTGGGCTGGGGGGTGACGGCCAGAGTAGAGCAGGGGCTGACCCGACCACGTCACCCAGCAGGAGGGGCTGGGCTGAGGGGTGATGGCCAGACAGGCTGAAACCCTACACCTCTCCCAAGCCTGGGGACCTGGCTCTCCTTCCCAACAGATTCACACCGATGGTCACAATGCCCTCGAGGGGAGGCAAGAGGGCAGGGGGTGGCAGCTACAGCCAGGATCGCCACCCGGCACCGTGCCAAGGGGTGCCGCCCATAGACACTGCCATGAGCATGGCATCTGGGGATCCCGCAGGGAGGTGACCCTGCTCCAGAACCCCCGATGGGTCACCTGTGCACCGTCTAGTGTAGCCGGCTTCCTCCTTGCCTCCAGGGACAGGATTATCTTTGGTGATCTATCGTGAGGACGCCGCACGTGCATTCTGAAGGGAGAGTGGGATGAGGCTGAGGGTATCTCAATCCCAGAGCAAGAATGAGGGGCTCTCCTGAGTCATCCACACTCCCCTGGTCGAATTCCAGCTGGGCCAGCGGTTCTCAAACCCAGGACCCCTTTACACTCTTAAAAAATATCCAGGTTTGAAATCCATTTGGCACTTCCTCAAAATGTTAAATACGGATTTACCATATGACCCAGAAACTCTGCTCCTGGTTACAGACCCAAGACATGTCCTCACCGAAACCTGTGCACAAATGTTCTCAGCAGCATTATTCACAACAGCCAAAAAGTGGAAACAACCAAAATATCCACCGACCGATGAATGAGGAAAATGTGCTATTTCCGTACAATGGATTATTTACAAGGGATTATTATTTGGCCACAAGAAGGAATGAGGTGCTAACACCAGCTAAATCATGGACAAACCTTTAAAACATCCTAAGTAAGAAAAGTCAGTCGTAAAAGACCACGTACTGTATGATTCCGTTTACATGATGTGCCCAGAATAAGCGAATCTGAGAGGGAAGGTGATGAGTGGTTATCGGGGCTGCAGGAAAAGGGAACAGACTGCCAGTGGGTTCAGGACTTCTTTTTGGGGTGATAAAAATGTTCCGGAATTAGACAGTGGTGATGGTTACACAATTTTGTGAATATACTAAAACCACTGAACTGCATCCTTTAAAAGTGTGAATTTTATGGTCTATGAATTACAACTTCAGCACC